GCGCCCGCCGGTTTCCCAGGGGCCTGCCCCCGGGGAGCACGCTGGCGAAGGGGATGCGGTGATGTGCTAGGGGGGGATGCCGAGGCCCACGCTGGTGAAGGGGATGTGGTGATGTGCTGGGGGGGGGATGCCAAGGCTCCTGCCACCCATGGGGGATGCACGAGGAAGACGGATACGGGTCCTTCCGGGAAGACTCCGAGGAGGCAGCTCTACAGCCAGCAGCTCCTTGGGAGGGTGGGTTGTGGTTGTACACAGTCCACAGCCCCCTTGCCCTGTGGGTTATCCTGCACCCAGCAGTGCCTCCTCGGGAGGGACAGGGCAGCATGCACAGGCTTTCAGGCAGGCACATGCCCGGCGGGGGGACACGTCGGATGCCGTGGCTGCCGTGGAGCCTCGGCGGTGTTCCCAGGAGGTGACTCTTTAGGAAGTGGGTGCGTCCTGCCGGTGCTGCCGCGGGAGGCCCAGCGGGAACTGCGTGGGAGCGAGGAGAGCCAGGCAGCGGGCTGGGCCCTGGCCTGACCTCCCGGTCGTTAGAGAGAAGGCGGATTTGGCGTGAGTCAGCAGCAGAGCCGGGCGCAAGGGGAGCAGGGCCTGGAGAGCGGAGGAGCAGGAAGGTGACAATCAGCATCGTGACACGTCCTAATTACTTTACCTTCCAAATCCATGTCGCACTATTATTTGCTTGCTTGCATGAGAAACAGAACCATGAGGCATTCCCCAAAACTCCCTCCAGGCAGTGGGTTCCAGCACCTAACCTTGATGCTGGCAGACCCTGACTGTGCAAGACAGAGGAGGAGGGAGTCACAGTCACGCCGCCTCCTGCCAAAAATTCCCAAACCGGCAAGCCCAAGGCTTGCTGCCCTGCCTTGTCAGCCTGAGACCAGGCGTCGGAGCATCACTGACGAAGCCACTGCCCAGGAGGGCCAGGCATGGAGGAGCCACAACCCCTGCGGGCGAGGAGCCCTGCGTAATGCCTCTGTTCTCTGCAGTTGGGAAATAACTATTGCGTGGAGTCTGGGCGCTGCGGTCAGCTAGCATGGGACAGCATCGCCACCGGCCGCTTACCACGTCACGCCTTACATGCGGAAGGTCAGCCCAGGGAGCAGCCCCCAGGGTCTCGCAGGGGCTCGGCCACAGTGTCAGACCGCGGTACCCCAGAGCACCAGGAAGCGCAGGCAGCGAGGGCGGCAGCCCCCCACCTTCCCCTCCAACTCATGGGGTCCCCCAGCACGCTGCCCGGCTCGCAATGCTGGGTGCTGGGCTGGCCCTGCCAGGCTCCTCCGTGGTCCCAGTGGCCCTCCCAGGCACCCACGGAGGTCCCACGGGGAGAGCCCCCTCCTGCTGCTGCTCCGGCTGTGGCTGCTGCTGCTGCCACCTAATGGAGCCGCTCCTCCGGCCCAGGTGAGATGAAAGCAGCAGTGCTCTGCACCAACAGGCCAACGCTTGCACAGCCCAGACAGCCGGCTGTGCCCGTGCCCACGCTGGCAGGGGGCACGTGTGACATGCGGGTGCCGGAACGGGTGAAACCCTTGAGCACATGTCACACCACACGACAAGGAAGAGACCCGGTCTCCCCCTATAGATGGTCGCCCTTGAATCTTGCTGACACGCTCTCTCTGCGTACGCACGCACGCACGCACGTACGGCACACCTGGCCCACGCAGCCACCGCGTGCGTGGAGGTCTCGGCTGCCGGCAGCGAGCATCCGAGCCACCGCTTCATGGCGGCTGAGGCGGGGAAAGCGAAGCAGCTCCCGAGCGATGCAGGTCATGGCAGGATGCTTTATATAACCCACAGCCACAGAGAAAACCAAAATAGCTGCCTCCCTGCTGCTCAGTTCGTCTCTTCCATCAAACGCGGATAAAATTAGAGCAGGCGGTGACGTGCACCTACGTCTGCGCAGGGACTCCAGGGAGACGGAGGGAGCCGGCTCAGGGCTCTGCCATTAGCGGCACAGCCTGCCAGAGCTTTCAAGTAAAATCCGTCAGCGAGGCTGGTGTGTGGCCGCAGGGGATAGATGTGTGGAAGAGGAGGAGGTGGCGGTGGTGGCGGTACGGGGGGCACAGCTACCGGAGGCACTGGGGGACCGTTCTACGCCTCGTTGCTGCCTTTTGGGAAGAGGAGCTGAGAGCTCACACGCAAGCTGGGCTTGGGCGCTGCGCTGACCCTCGCCTTCCCGGTGCGGACACCACGAGGGTCAGAGCAGGGCTGCTGCAAAGGCTGAGCTCTGGACTGACGCATCTCAGAGGGCTGAGCCCCCTCCTCCCGAGCAGGGGAGGGCCGGAGCAGGAATACTTCTGCCAGAGCTTTGGAGCAAACGTGCCTCCGTGGACTGGGACCCAGAACTGCCACTGTCCCCTAGGGAGGTGACTCGCAGAGCTGGCCAGCCCCCCTCCCTCTCTGCTGACTTTGCAACCTGGTGGAGCCCCAGGGGATGTAGTACTGGAGGGTGATGAAAAGCTGATTCAGAAAACACTTGTGTGGAAGCTCAGACCCCTTTAAGAAAAAAAATGAACAGGCAAAAAGAACCAGGACAAAAGCCTAAGCTAGAAGCTGGAAAACAGTCACCTACATCCCTGTGTAGACACCGGAAAACAGTCACCTACATCCCTGTATAGACACCTAGATAAGCTCTGAGCCTTTCACTGGTGACAGGAGAAACTACAATTGCTCAAAGCCTCTGAATACCAGGTAAAAAAAAAAATAGTGTCATTGTCCAAAGCACACGCAGATGGAGGTGTCTAACTTCAGCTCTCTCTTTTGGATGCACTGGCTTTGATTTTTATTTTCTGGTTTATTGGTCTGAACACAGGCGAGAGCGCCAGGAATGCGGTTGTCTGCTATGCTGTGACATTGCCCCGGTCTGTGACCTTGGGCACACCTTTCCCTGACGTCGGCGTGTCTGTGTGGCTGCTTTGGTGTCCCATCCTCTTCTCTAGGGCTAACTTTCTCCATCCTCAGTCAGCTGACAGGTTAAGGATTGGGGAAGGTGAGCGAGTTAATATTTGTGAAACAGTGAAGATAGGAAGAGCCCTGCAGAAAATCTCTACATTAATATTTATTGATGGAAAAGCAACCAAAAAAAAAAAAGGCCACGAGGTTTAAAATTGCTTTCCTGGTCTGAGAGACGTGTACCCACTCATGAAGGTAATTTATTCCCCATCCCCTGGAGCTCTGCCACCTTCTCCCTCCACCTCTGTCACACGACAGTGCTGGATACCTCAGCTCTCAGGGAGGTGGCTCAGATCCCAGCCAGCTCCTGGAGGCAGGAATCGCAGATATATATAGCAGCACGGCAAGAGGTGAGCTAGGCAGCCACAGCAGCAGCAGCTCCTCACGCTTGGCTGGAAAAAAAACCCCGAAACCACACAGAGCAAATGAAATCTGTTAATCTCCACCACGAGTTCCTGGAGTTGAATAGCTCAATAGGGGAGAAGTGGCCAGATGAGAGGAGGGATACCTGTGTCATGCTGCGGGGCGGCTCCTCACTCAATCCTGCCCTCAGCCTGCCAAGGCCGCCTAGAAGGTGCTCGCATTTCCTTGGGGACATTGTTTGCTGAGTATCCATCGCTGCCTGTTATCTTATCTCACTGATTTCTGACGAACTGCCCTGCAATCCGAATGTCAACCGTATGGTGCAGAACAACCGGCGTGTCCCTGCGTCCTCTGTTATCTTTTTCTCCTTTGGCCCGTGACAAGGTCAAGGGATGTGTGCGCACACGCAGCACGCTGGAGCGCCTGAAGTGGCACAAGCTGGTTTTGCATGTTCAGCGAGGCAGCTCAGAAAGGATGTTGGGGAATCAAAGGGCTGCATGTGATTATACAGCAAAATTCAGCTTCTCTGCGTTAGTACCAAAGTCCGTGTGACTCCTCCCGGCCACAAACAGCTGCATCTGCCTCCGTGCAACCCAGCGCAGCCTCGCGCCCCTGCGATGCTGCTCTGAGCAGGCTCCTGCCCAGTGCTGCCCACACCACTGGCTCCGCGTGCAGGCAGAGCTCCCGGTGCTGCCTGCTGGCTGGGCCAGGGGGCATCCATCCCCTGGTTGCCCAGATTACCAAGTTCCTTCATTTCACTGAAATCACTGGTTTATTAGTAGCAGAAAGGCTCTGAGAGAGCAGAGAAGACAGAGGTGGAAGGAACCAGCAAGGATAGGAACGGTGAGAAGGGCCCACAAAACACATCCTTTCCTTGCAAGCCACAAATCACCCCTCCTCAGACCATGCTGGCTGTTGCTGAAGAATTAGGAGACCCCAAAGGTGGATGAGGCAGCCATGGACCAGCTGCTGGGACAGCAAAGAGAAGGTCGTGCAGCTCAACAGCGTGGAATATGGGAACCTTTTGGTGCTTCCACTGCACTCACATCTCGTCTGCACATGCCCTCTCCTGCGCACCAGCTCTTGAGGGATGGAAGAACATTGAATATCAGGCATATCTGTTGCAGGCAAGGGCAGGAGAGCCCTATGATACAGTCTGGGATTTCCCTGGGGCTGTTGGAGAACTGGTTTTTACTCGCGGGATCTCTGCTAGGATGAGATGAATGGGGAGCAGGATTAATTTACAATCCCTCTTACGTCACTTGACGGAAGACTTAATGACTGGGATTTCCCTCCGGTTATCCTGGGGGAATTGGAGCTCATTTTACAAGCTCTCGCCCAGCGTCAGGCAAGGAGCCATTCTCAGGCTGTCTGAGTCTCTTCAGAAGACGTCAGGAATAAAAATTGTTTCCCGTGAGCTGTAGCAAGGAACAGCCTGGCACAACCGTGGTCTGAAAAGGATACTTACAACAGGAGCATCTTTTTCCTCAAACCCTCAGCACATTGCTCTTTCATAACTGTTCTGTTGCCCAAAATAACCTGTCCTGGCAGCTGGTGCTACTTGCATAAAGAGGAAGCTGAGGCCCTCAATGAGGTCAAAGGGAAGAGCACCCTGTCTAGACTAACATCCCTGGGGATTTCAGCCCCAGCCTCCTGGAAAGCCCCCTGGTCCAGAATTGCCCTGGTGAGTCAGAGCCACTTGCACAAAGCCAGCACCAAGACAAACTCCAGAGCTATCCCAGCACTCTGACATCACTCCTTTGACCTCCTCCTCTTGGGAAGGCTTCTTCAGGGCAAAGGAAATTTCCATGTTGCTCTCACCACTTGATGCTCATCAGCTCTTCCTAGCCACGCTGCAGGATGGATGAGAAGCTGCGATTGCACATCCCATACATCTTCATGGCCTGGTTTTCCGTTCC